GAATAGAACAGCTCCAGATATTTACCCCTAAACATAAATAACAAAGCCTTCTCATTATATGGGTGTGACATACAGTATATACAATTTTAAACAGATTAGTACATCAATGTTCACCTTTAAATTGGAATGTTTGTCTCTTTCAGCATTAGATTACAATGCACATAAGCAAAAAAATATGTTTCAGTAACACATTAGTGTAACAATAAAGTTAATCTAAAACCTTTAAATTTGTTCTCTCAGAGCGATAAAGGCATTTTCAATGCAAGTTGTCAAGTTAATTATCTTTAAAGAAATTTAATTTACCTTATCTACCTTTTGATGGTAGATGCAACTGGGAATCATAAATCTCATTATATAAAATGTTATATATTAATATATTGTATATTTTCTTATTTTAATTATGGTCAGATCTAAAAAATTTAAAATCCGATAATATGAAATATAGCATATGAATAATATGCAGTCTTCTTTCTAGCCAGCCATTGTAGCTTTAGACTCTTTCTCATATTTTGTAAAAAGCATGTTTACAGAGTTCAATAGCTCCATCTAAAATATTGGACACAAAGTAAGAGGAGTGACACATCCCTTATTGAATAGTTCTGTCCAGTCAAAGTGATGAAAAATGTATGCAGCTCTGGCTGTGCGGTCTCTTTGGCTATATATACACAAAATTGTAAGTACTTTCTAAGCATGATTCTAGGGCACCTTTACTAATAATGACTTGTCATACATATTTATATATATAATCATATATAATTACATTTTGTATAATTGTATATGGCTTTACTTGCATTACAACATTCATATTGAGGGTGTCCTAAAAGTCTTGCTTAGATTTTACTTACTATTTGAAAATACGGGATGGTGACACCTAGAATGTATAAAAACGTAAAGATTTTCAGTACCATAAAATTGCAGAGAAAAACTTTAATCCCAACATTTACAACCATAAAATAAGATAAACTTGTTTCAAAACCATTATATCTTCCCTTCAAAGGGAACTTTTTAGAAATATGGGAGCCTCACTCTAGTTCTTCATCCTAACCTTTGCTTCACTGCATTGCAAGTCACTTCAGGACATAAGTTCTGACTTCACTGGTTGCATGCTTGTTCGAGGTCAGTGACTCACCAAGGAGCAGATCAAGGGTTATGGAAAAAGTCTACGAGCTTGCAACTTCAAAAACAAGTCTGCAAAGGGAGCTACTATATTTCTAACTCTATAGTTTCTTTATTATGTTAAACCTTCAGTTGCTGAAACCCGAAGAAAAAAAAAAAATTGAGAATCACAAATTGGTGATATATAGAAAAGATAATACCAATATATTAGAAAAAGAAATAGAACATAAATAAGTAGATGCAGTCCAGTAGTGATGGGCTGGATGTTCTAGTTGAACGTAAGTTTGGCTCGAACATCGGCTGTTCGCGTGTTTGCCGAACAATGCACTGCACTCTCACAGTGCATGGTGATTTGCCAAAGCAATGCACCTAACCACAGGTTTGGTGTAATGCTTTGGCCAATCACGGTGACATCACTGCTAGCTCCACCTAATTGTTTATATCTGACTGGCAAATGTCTCTGCGGGTGTGAACGGCGTCGCATGACAATGCTGGACCCTGTTATTGATGATGGATTACAACAATGGAACCATTTTTTGGCTTTTTTTTTTTTAAATAAAGGACTTGTCAAAAACGTTTGTTTTGTTTTTTGTTCAATAAAATGTTTTTTTCAAAAGACTGGTCTCTTTATTATTTACTAAATTTAACCCTTTAGCGACTGGGTAGGGGTAAAAGTAACCCTTACTCATTCATAAGGGGGGGCAGCATTAGGGTGCCCCCCAGGGGTGGACTGACAACTCATGGGGCCCCCGGGCAATAGGCGATCATGGGGCCCCTGTGTCCTTGCCCAAACTCAAAAAAGCCTTTGAAAATGGTACCAGGGGCATCTCATGGGGCCCCCTACTGATCCTGGGCCCTCAAGCAGTGCCTGAGTTTCCAAACGGTCAGTCCACCCCTGGTGCCCCCTTATTTAAAGGGGTATCCTGATGCTAATGAGATCGCAGACCCCCACAAACACTGAGCCATAGCTGTGAGGAAGACGTCCTTGTCCCCATTGGCATGGGGACATTGTCCCCATGCCAAGAGCACGTGGCCTGGTAAACCGTACGGGGGGGTGCTCGCTCGTCCTCCCCCTTTCCTGTCTTGCCAGGCCAGTGCTCAGATCAGGGGTCTGGTATAGCTTTTGGGGGAACCCCAAGCACTTCCCCCCCATTTTTGGGAGGTGGGGTTCTCCTTAAAAGTCCTACCAGGCCTGAAGGCCCAGTGTGGCTTTTTGGGAAACCTCACGCACTTTTCTGTGGGGTCCCTCCTACCTTCCTACCAGATAGTAAAAATGTAATATAAAATAAAAAAATGTCAGTCCTGCAGCAGGAGGTTTTATACATTGTACAGAATGTGCAACTTTGCAGGTAGTTTAAGATGACCACCCAGGCATGATATGTAAAGGAATTTTTCTGTTTTTTTTTTACTTTAAGCAATGAAAAACGACTGCCCCTTTAAAAGCGGTACTTTTTTAAACCATTTTTTTTCTTTGCGGATTCATGTCCCTCAGGGTAATACCGGAGATCCCATTTATGGCCAATAACTTTTAAATAAGCCTTTAAAATGGGCACTTTTGAATTTACAAGTTCGAGATCCATAGACTTGCATTAAGTTCTAAGTTCTCAATCAAACATTCATTAGATTTGAATGTTCAACCGCAAACTGAACACGGGGGTGTATTCCCCATCACTATAGTCCAGTCTTAATGTTCTCACCTGAAAAAATTAAAAGCCATGCATACATAAGCATCCTGCTTGATTTCCCTATGGCACCTTCATAAAAGTTTTTACATTTATTACTACTTCTTAATAAATAAACTGATTCACTGTACATCTTTATTTTCAATTGTTGCTTTCTTAATTGTGTAATATAATCATGATCCCGCAGTTCACTGTGAGTTAAAGTTATCAAATTAGTTTCCATGGCTACAGACATGCAAATTTAGAGTCAAACTTTGAAGAAATAGGTTTTACTTATATAAAAGAAGGAAATCAAATTATTAAAAAAACTGAGGAACCATATTGCAAGTAAGAACTTTGCATTAGGGAATATTATGTCGTTTTGCAAAGCATACAAAAATCTATTAATTAAATAAATACATTTATGCATAAAATATATCCATTTTCTATCAGTCTGAAGAATACATTGTCCCCATATTAGGGCTCTCTGTAAGAATTTTCTGTCGAAGGCACTCAGTACAGAGAAAGTAGAGCTTGATGTTTTAGTACTGTATGACCCAGACTCAGAGGCGGTGGGTTTATGAATGATATCTTGCAAGAAATTAAATGAAGAACTATCAATATAGTTTGCATGTTTTCACATTATTTTGCAGGAGCCCTGTTGCATAAGATTACAGTGCCTTGAAAAAGTATTCATACCCTTGAACTTTTCCACATTTTGTCATGTTACAACCAAAAACGTAAATGTATTTTATTGGGATTTTATGTGATAGACCAACACAAAGTGGCACATAATTGTGAAGTGGAAGGAAAATTATAAATGTTTTTCAACATTTTGTACAAATAAATATGTGACAAGTGTGGCGTTCATTTGTATTCAGCCCCCCTGAGTCAATACCTTGTTGAACCACCTTTCGCTGCAATTCCAGCTGCAAGTCTTTTTGGGGATGTCTCTACCAGCTTTGCAAAATAGCTCAAGCTCTGTCAGATTGGATGGAGAGCGTCTGTGAACAGCAATTTTCAAGTCTTGCCACAGATTCTCAATTGGATTTAGGTCTGGACTTTGATTAAGCCATTCTAACACATGAATATGCTTTGATCTCTGGCTGTATGTTTAGGGTCGTTGTTCTGCTGGAAGGTGAATCTCTGCCCCAGGCTCAAGATTTCTGCAGACTCTAACAGGTTTTCTGCTTGCCTTGTATTTGTCTCCATCCATCTTCCCATCAACTCTGACCAGCTTCCCTGTCCCTGCTGAAGAAAAGCATCCCCACAACATAATGCAGCCCCCACCTTGTTTTATGGTGTGTTCATGGTGTGTTCAAGGTGATGTGCAGTGTTAGTTTTCTGCCACACATAGCGTTTTGCTTTTAGACCAAAAAGTTCAATTTTGGTCTCATCTGACCAGAGCACCTTCTTCCACATGTTTGCTGTCTCCCACCACATGGGTTCTTGCAAACTGCAAATGGAATTTATTAAGGCATTATTTCAACAATAGCTTTCTTCTTGCCACTCTTCCATAAAGGCCAGCTTTTTGGAGTGCATGACTAATAGTGGTCCTGTGGACAGATTCTGTCAGAGCCTGGGATCGAACCTAGGCCTTCTGCGGTGAGAGGCAATGTTTCTTCTCACTGAGCTACCTGGGATGCTGGACAACACTCTGCCTGATCTACTGGATAATCCTTCCTTGTGCCTTGATTTCTCTTGAACCTTGAACTCCTTGCTCCTCCCATGAACTTCCTTATAAAAACCATGTCCATGCACTTCCTCCTGCCAGATTATTGTGCCTTCCCAGCCAATATCCCGCTTACCGTTTCTGCTGATGTCTACATCTTCGTTACCGACCTTTGGCTTGCTACTGACTACGATTCTGCCTCATCCTATCTACTACCATTTGTGACCGACCCTTGGCTTGTGACTGACTCCGCTTCTGTTTGATTCCTAATCTGTTTGATCCGCTTTTGATATCCAGCTTGTTCATTCCCTGGTGGGGTGATCCTGAGATCTGCGACCTGGTATTAGCACGCAGCCAAATCCATCTCCACCATTAGGAGCTCTGGGGAAAACCAGTTAAAACTTAGACCCCGCACCTCAGGTGAGCCTGCGTCATTCCCAGGGTGACCCGCTGGTCTACCAATCCTGCTGGCTTCAGGTAAGCCTTACAACTGCTGTAGAAACTGGTCTCTGAACCTGACCCAGACCGTGACAGAATAATCTGGCCCAAACATGGAGACCGCTATGGCAAACGTTAGGCAGCAAATTGCTGAGCTACAGGAATTTGGGGTTACCCATCAAGAAAAAGTTGCCAAACTAGAAAGCATTGTGGATAGGCAACAGGGGGAGATTCAGGCTCTGCAGAGACAACTGCTGAACCGAGATGATACTAGCTCACATAAGCCCCAACCATCTAAGTTTAATGGAGACCGCCGCCGCTACAGGGTTTTCCTTAATCAATGTCGCATATATTTCCAAATGTACCCTGCTGCGTTTACTTCAGAGAAAAAGAAGGTAATGTTTAATATTGGGCTTCTGACTGGGGAAGCTCTAGCTTGGGCCTCCCCTTATATAGAGCAAAACCATGGCATGTTGAATGATTTTGATACCTTTTTGACCACGATGAATCAGGTTTTTGATGATCCCAACCGTTGTGCTACTGCTGAAGCAAAATTGCATAGTCTGAGGCAGGGTAGACACTCGGTCGCTGAATACACAGCCGAGTTCAGAAGTTGGATCGCAGATACCACTTGGAACCCTGCAGCACAAAAAAGCCAGTTCCGCCAAGGGCTTTCTGAACAGGTAAAGGATGAGCTTGCCAGAGTAGATATACCTAATGATCTTGAGGAATTCATCAAATTGTGTATCCGAATTGATCAAAGACTTACAGAAAGGAGGAAGGAGAGGCTGGGAATGTTTGGAGGTAATAAGGGCATGCATCTCTCTGCTAGTCCATTTGTTCAGCAGGATTCAAGAGTCTCTCTGGGTTCTAACACTCCTGAGCCTATGCCGGTCGATGCTATCAAGAGATCCATTTCCATTCAGGAGAAAGAGAGAAGACGTTCAGAGAATTTATGTCTATATTGTGGGGATTCTGTTCATTATGCAATTAATTGTCCTAACAAAGTTAGAAGAAGAACAATTGCTGTGACTGATGTGATTGCGCCTGAACAAATAAACTCTCTATAAGCCAGTCTGTCTCCCCACTGATTCCTGAAGAGAATAAAGTGAACTCACTACTCTCTCATTTTTTTATCCCCATCATTAAACTTGTATCTGAGGGCTGTGAAATCTCCTGCTCAGCTATGCTGGACTCCGGGGCTGGGGGGAACTTTATGGATATAGAGTTTGCCAACAACAATAATATTCAAGCAAGAGATACATTTACCCCTATTGATATGGAGACAGTTGATGGGCCACCCTTATCTTCAGGACCTGTTACCCATAAAACGGTTCCCCTGGTACTGTTGTTTGAGGCTGACCATTGTGAGACCATCAGCTTTCAGCTGATTAAGTCAACCAAGTTTCCCATCATCCTGGGCATTCCTTGGTTCTCCACTCACAATCCTTCCATCAACTGGGGAGCACGGACTATAGATTTTACGTTCCCCCCCACTGGGAAAAATATTGCAAAAAACCTTGCCGACCAAGTTCGTCACCGACCAAGGAAGCGCAAAGTGATATAGTAACTATCCAGTCATATGACAATTTGCCCCCACATTACCATGAGTTCCAGGATGTCTGTGACAAGAAAAATGCAGATTTATTATTATTATACAGTATTTATATAGCGCCAATGGGTATGCTCAGCGCTGTACAGTAGCAGGGGGGACAGAACATGAGACAAGACAGTAACAATACAATACACGAGGGGTTCGAGGGCCCTGCTCTTTTGAGCTTACAATCTATGAGGGAGGGGAAGGTGGCACAGGAGGAGATGGCTGTGGGGGATGGAGTGGCGGGAGGAGTGGAGGATGTTAGTTGTTAGGTGAGGTCGGGTGTTAGGTGAGGTTGGGGTAGGCTTCCCTGAAGAAGAGGGTTTTCAGGGTGCGTCTGAAGGTGAGGAGGGTAGGCGACAGTCTGATGGATTGGGGTAGGGAGTTCCAGAGGATGGGGGAAGTCCTGGAGAAGTCCTGCAATCGAGCATGGGAGGAGGAGGAGACCAGGGAGCTACCCCCTCATCGCCCATATGCTTGCCCCATTGAGCTGCTCCCAGGTCAAAACCTGAATTAAAAGTACTCAGGGTGTGTGGATCAATGAGAATTTGGAGAAGGGCTTTAATAGACACTCAACTTCTCTTTCGAATCCTTGGTGATGCCGTTTGGTCTTTGCAACGCCCCTGCAACGTTTCAGCATTTTATCAATGATGTTTTTTTTGATCTGTTGGACCAATTTGTGATTGCCTATCTGTATGATATCCTTATCTTTTCCAATAATTGGGAGGAGCACCGCAAACATGTTTGCACTGTCTTTGAAAGATTAAGGAAGAATAGACTCTACATTAAATTGGAGAAATGTGAGTTTGAACAAACCCAGATCCAGTTCTTAGGCTATATCATTTCTCCAGAGGGAGTGAGCATGGATCCTGAGAAGATCAAAGCAGTGGTAGATTGGTCAGCCCCTGAAAATGTTAAGGAAGTTCAATGTTTTCGTCGGGTTTGCCAACTTTTACAGAAAAGTTATAAGAAATTTTTCTAAAGTGATCACTCCAATCATTCAGCTGATGAAGAAGGGGGTACCCTTCGTGTGGACCCCTGAGGCACAGGCTGCATTTGAAAGGCTGAAAACTCTTTTCACTTTTGCACCAATTTTGGTACATCCCGATCCTGACGTACCCTTTATAGTGGAAGTGGATGCTTCCAATTTTGCCATGGGAGCTATCCTGTCTCAGCGAAGTGATGAAAAAATGCAGCTTCATCCTTGTGCCTACTTTTCTCGTTTGATGTCCTCAGCCGAAAGAAATTACGACATTGGGAATAAAGAGCTACTGGCAATTAAGGAAGCCTTTTCTGAATGGAGGCATCTGCTAGAAGGGGCTAATCACCCTGTAACTGTTAGGGATCTGGGTTATGACCAGAAATGTGTGGACTGACACAGGGAAACACAGGCTCCAGGTATAGTATAAACAATACAATTTATTAAAGACTAAACTATACATAAACACAGTGCAAGATTAAACATAAACACAGTGCAACCAAACCTCCAACAGATAACAATAAGAACAATACTAAACGTAGTCGGGCAGGCCGGGTCGGTAGCAAACGGGCAGGCAAGGTACAAGGAGCAGGCGGAAGCGTAGTCAGGAATAGCCGAGGTCAGGACAGGCAGAGTTCATGCAGAGTCAGGATTAAAGCAGAATCAGGATCAGGCAGGAAGCAGACAGGATGCAGGTACAGGGGCTCATGGGAAACATACACCAAGGCCCTGATCACAGGCCTGGCCATTTCTTAAATACACCTGCTGTAATCAGCCTCAGGTGATGGCTCATTGCAGGAGTGAGCCTCTGGTTGCTGACAGCACCCGCTGGCCAGCCCTGGTACTGCAGCCCACAAGGCAGGTGAGTCCCACCACCACTGGCAAGTCCATTCCTGACAGTAACTGTTCTCACTAACCATAGAAATCTGGAATTCATTCGCTCTGCCAAGAGGTTGTCTTCCAGACAAGCACGCTAGTCTTTATTCTTTTCCAGATTCAATTTTGTTATATCATATCGACCTGGATCGAGGACTGGTAAGGCCGATGCCTTTTCAAGGATGCTGTCTGAGCCTCCCCAGGAGGGCAACTCTGAATGTTCAATCCTAACCCAAAAGAACTTCCTAGGGGCCACAAGTGCAAAGATATTCTTGAGTCTTCTCAAAGAGGGGTATGAGAATGACCCACCTCTCAGGGATCCTCCTAGAGACATAAACCTTGAGTACAAGAACGGCTTTTGGACTTTAGCACATCGTCTCTATGTACCTGAGTCTGCACGGGTGGAAGTCCTCAAATTAGTTTATGACTCCAAACTGGCAGGACACTTTGGGATTTCAAAGACTGATGACCTTCTGTCACGTTCCTTCTGGTGGCCTAGTTACAAGAAGGATATCAAACGCTACGTGGCCTCTTGTCTGACGTGTGCACGTCATAAGACACCCAGAGCTTTTCCTTTGGGGTTGCTCCAGCCACTTCCTGTTCCATCAAGACCTTGGGGGTCAATTTCTATGGACTTTATAGTCGAATTACCTCCCTCCAAAGAAATGACTACTATCTTGGTAGTCATCGACCGCCTTACTAAAATGACTCATTTCATACCTGTTAAGGGGGTACCTTCTGCTGAACAAACGGCGAGTTGATGGTTCGAGATGTTTTTAAATTACATGGAATTCCTGATAATGTGGTATCTGATAGAGGAATACAGCTTACATCAAAATTTTGGAAAAGCTTTTGTTCAGCTTTAGGGGTAACTGTTAACCTGTCCACCGCTTTTCATCCACAGTCTAATGGTCAGACAGAGAGGACCAACCAAACTTTGGAACAGTACCTTCAGTGTTTTGTCAGTTATCTTCAGGATGACTGGGTGGACTATTTACCTACGGCAGAGTTTGTCTATAACAATGCTAAACATAGCTCCACCTCTCAGCCCCTTTTTTTATCAATATGGGGTATCATCCAGTTTTTATTCCTGATCTCCCTATCGCAACTCAAATTCCTGCTGTTGCCAACAGAGTAACTACATTGCAGGAGATTCAGGCGAAGTTGATCGAGACCTTGGGGGAAGCGCAGGAATGTTATAAAAAGGCTGCCGACAGTCATCGCAGATCACTTCCTACCTTTCATGTGGGCGACAAGGTTTGGCTATCACTAAAAATCTGGAGGCTCATGTTCCATCTGCAAAGTTGGGCCAAAAGTTTGTGGGACCTTTCCAGATTTCTCCTCAGATCAACCCAGTCACCTTTCGCTTAAAACTTCCTGACAGTATGAAAATTCACCCTGTTTTTCATGTATCACTTTTCAAACCATTTCATGAAAATCCTTTCTCTGGAAGAATTCATCCACCTCCTCCACCTGTTGAGGTACAAGGTGAAGAAGAATATGTGGTGGAGAAGATTCTTGACTCTAGGATGTTTAGAGGAAAATTGCAATATCTTGTCCAATGGGAAGGATATGGGCAAGAGGAAAATTCTTGGGAGCCTGAGGAAAATGTCCATGCTCCTAGATTAACAAGAGAATTCCATCAGAGGTTTCCCCACAAGCCTGGTCCTAGGATGACCAGGGGACGTCCTGTGAGGACTGTCAGAGCCTGGGATCGAACCTGGGCCTTCTGCGGTGAGAGGCAATGTTTCTTCTCACTGAGTTACCTGGATTGCTGGACAACACTCTACCTGATCTATTGGATAATCCTGCCTTGTGCCTTGATTTCTCTTGAACCTTGAACTCCTTGTTCCTCCATGAACTTCCTTATAAAAGCCATGTCTATGCACTTCCTCTTTGCCAGATTATTGGGCCTTCCCAGCTAATATCCCACTTACCGTTCCTGCTGATGTCTACATCTTCGTTACCGACCTTTGGCTTGCTACTGACTACGATTCTGCCTCATCCTATCTACTACCATTTGTGACCGACCCTTGGCTTGTGACTGACTCCGCTTCTGTTTGATCTCTAATCTGTTTGATCGCTTTTGGTTTCCAGCTTGTTCATTCCCTGGTGGGGTGATCCTGAGATCTGCGACCTGGTATTAGCACTCAGCCAAATCCATCTCCACCATTAGGAGCTCTGGGGAAAACCAGTTAATACTTAGACCCCACACCTCAGGTGAGCCTGCGTCATTCCTAGGGTGACCCACT